TGACAGCAACATGATGTCAGCTGTTGAATTTTTCATGTGTGACATCGGCCAGCACTCACAAACTTTTGGGATTGAAAGCATTTCAGCTTTTGAGTTTTGCATTAGGCATCATTTGTACCAATGGGACCTGCCTCTGTCCCTCCCATGGGATCTTATCAGCACATAGCTGTGGAAGAAATGTTGCTCTACTATAAACTGGACTGCTTCTAAGAAAGGCATAGTATACAAATGAATAAAGGCCAAAACTAAGCCAAGAAATATTTAGAAGGGCCATAACAGAAATCCATGCTTTCCGTAAGTATACATGCCCTATGCTAAAAGTCAAGTGGGCAAATCAGAGACCAAAAGAGAAAAAGGAAGAGAAGTCTTGGGTTTCAACTGGGAAACTTGGAACATACATACAAATGTTGGTAGGACTGTGAGTGTCTACATTGACTTTTATTGGCAATTCATGAAGATTAATTTCTTGCCCATTCACTTAACATATCAACTTCCAATCATTTATTCTGTAAAATTTTTCCCATAACACATTCAAATAATTTAATTTAATTTTGAAAGCACATCATCATGTAATGGAGTAATGCAGCCTTGGAAAAATAAATGTAGAAATATTTATGTTGAATGAGAAAATGGCATAGTAACCTGATGTGATCTCATTGTCATGTTTATAACTGGTTCTTCTAGATATCAAGGATAGAAATGAATACTTCTCACAATGTACATGCCTGCCTAGAAATTAAATTCTCACTTGGGAACTGACAACAGACAGATGAAGGGTTGAAGAATCAGTACTGTGAAAAGAACAAATCATAGCAAAGTGGTAAAGGGAGTGAGGAGGATCGAAAAATCTATTCAGAAGAGGGGACGCAGGAGCAGAGATTTGAAGGAAGTAAGGGAACAGGACAGGAAGATCCAAAGGAATAGTCAGAAAGTTTAAAGGGCTGTACAAAGATGTGTTTGAAGTGTTACAAACCTGACAATGTGAACAGAGAGTAATGATCTGGAATGAGGGAATCACGGTGAGATCTGAGAGGTACCCAGGCACCATAGCATGTAGGCAGCATTTTATGGGCCATGCTGACAATTTTGGATTTCCTTAATTACGCTGATTGATTACAAGGGTGTGATGTGATCACGTGCATCTTTCGAGAACTATCATGGCTCTTAGAGAATATTCTGAGGAGGTAAAGAACAGAAGTTGCAGATCTGTTTGGTGAATAGTGTAGCTGTTAAGTGATAGTAGTGGCTTGAAGTGGGCCTGGAGCAGTGGAAGGAGGAAGAATGGTCAGGTGGGTGTGGTATTGTGAATAGGAAGTCAAGCATCCTTTGCATTACAGATAGGTTTGTTGGAAGGAGGAGTCAAGGGTGATCCCTGCGACTTAAGCCTGAGCACTTGAGTAGGTAGTGATGGAGATAGAGAACACAGTTTTCTTTTGGATGTGTTACTGTTGAAATGTCTGCTAGAGCTCTAAATGGAGGAAATGACAGTTGGATTATGATTGTCATTTTCCAGAAACACTGGGATTGGAAATGGCACATATCTGGGAGCCCAAAAAGCATCAGCTGAAGTCGTAGAAATTATAGAAAAAGTATGAAAATGCCAGACAACCAAACCCATAGGGTCCCCTCATCAGAGAGTTCTGAACAGGAAGACATTTCAACACAAAAACTAAGGAGAAGCAAGCACTGGGGAAAGGAGAAAGGAGGAGTGTGATTACAGAAGCCAGGTGGATAAACAAGTGTGGATGCAAAGACAGCATCACTCTCAAGTTATTGATTATCATCTTTCTTTTAGGGGGAAGAAACTGTAGGGGCTATTCAATGTGTCCTATGTCTCTATTGGAAAAGTTTATAATATTGCTTGGGAAATAAGAATAGCTATGCATGGGCTGGGAAGGTGGCTCAGTGGCAGAGCGCTTGCCTTGCATGCCTGAGGCCCTGGGTTCGATTCCTCAGCACCACATAAGCAAAAAGAAAAAAGCCGGAAGTGGCGCTGTGGCTCAAGTGGTAGAGCGCTAGCCTTGAGCTGAAGAGCTGAGGGACAGTGCCCAGGCCCAGAGTTCAGGCCCCACGATTGGAACCCCCCAAAAAGAAATAGCTATGGAGGCCCTCACACCTGAAATCCTTGCTAGTTGGGAGATTGAGATGGTTGGAAGCCATAATCTTATCTCTTAATTAAGCAACAAAAAGCCAGAAGTGGTGATATGTCTCAAGTGCTAAAGCACCTTGAGCCTTGAGCAGAAAAAGCCAAGCAAAAGCATGAGGCACTGAGTTCAAGCCCCAGTAACAGCGAATGCCCGCCCGTGCGCGTGCACACGCGCGCGCACACACACACACACACACACACTAGCCATGGAAAGTTTAAGAGCAATAAAAAACAATTAAAAATCAAATAAACCTATAAAAAGAATATGGAGGAATGAGCATTGACTCTTACATACTTGATTCGGCCATTTCCAAAGGACTTATAGGGACTAAAAATAAAGGAAGAAATGCTTTCAGATGGCTCATCAAGAGTATATTTAATCACCTGCATTTTACAGGGGAATTATGTATGGAAAGGTTATCTATGTAGATGTATTTTCTCATATATTATTTGTGGGTATTAAGTAATTCTGTGCAATATACAGCAAAAATGTATATAAAATGTGTAGATGGAAAAAGGCTACTTGCTACTATATACATCTATATGTATATAGTTTATATATGTAACATCTTAAAAATTAAGGTTATATTTACTTAATTTCACATTTTGTCTTGGTTTTGTTCATCTTTTGTTATGTATTACTTATATAAAAAGACTTCTCTGTCTCCACTTATTGAAACTGATTATATATACATATTTTTTACTTCACATTTTTAATTTACTTTTATCCATTTTATTAGCTTATATTAATTATACAGAGAGGTTTCATTGCAATATTTTCTTTGTGGGTACAGTATACTCCAATCATACTGATCCTTTATATTCTTCCCTCTTCTTGGATCTAGTTCAATAGGTTCATTGTTCTATTTTCAGACATACATATATATATGTATATATACATATATATATACATATATATATATATATATAAAACACTGACTATATTCACCTTCATACCTTCTCCTTTCACCATCCTGCTTCTGCTGGTAACCTTCCCGCTCCATCCCACCCCAGCCCTCCCAAAAAAAAAAAGCAGAACTTATTTTACATTTCTGTATATTTTTAAGGACTGGATTCTACATTTGAATGAGAACACACAATGTTTGTCATTCTTCATGGCTTATTTCACTTCGTATGTTGATTTCTAGGTCCATCCATTAAATAAAGGTTTTAGAGTTGGTATCCATGCTAAGATTAGAAGGCTGGTTGTTCCATTCCACAGGGGCTCATGAAGTTGCTCTTAACTTTGAGCTTAAGAAAAACTGAAATGCCCTAGGTAGGTCACACGTGCCTGTAATCACAGCACTTGGAAGGCTGAGGCAGGAAGACTAGAATTTCAAAGCCAGCCTGGGCTATGTAATGAGGACCTGACCATCCTAAGTTATATAGTGACCCATCTTAAAAACTGGAAATTAAAGACTAGGAATGTGGCTCAGTGGGAGAGTGCTTGCCTAGCATGCATGAAGCCCTGTGTTTGATTCCTCAGTACCACAAAAAAAGCTGGAAGTGACATTGTGGTTCAAGTGGTAAAGTGCTAGCCTTCAACACAGAAAGGCTCAGGGACAGTGCCCAGGCCCTGAGTTCAAGCACCAGGATTGGAGAGAGGAAAAAAAGAAAAAAACTAGGTCTTAATGATCAGCCAGTGTAATTCCTACTGAAAGTGAGCTCAGCTTCAAACTGCCCATCAGATATCATGCAGCTGTATCAAAAGGCCATGAGACACTTGTGTTGCCTTAAAATTAAGGTAATATTCATTCTAGCAAATTAGATATCATGTATACCATCTTATAGAAGCATGTGTATGTTAAGTGTTTTAAAGGGCTGGGATGTAGCTCAGTGGCAAAGTGCTTGCCCAGGAAGTTCAGCGTCCTGGGTTCTATTCCCCAGTACCAAAAAAAAAAAAAAAGTGTTGTAAAGTCACCAGAAAAAATTATTATTTCTCCTAATGGGGATTGCCTAACAGCACAAACTAGTGGTATTCCTCATACTTACAAGAGACTCTGCTTTTTAAAAGAGGGATCCACTCAAACATGGGAACCTTTTTCTGTAAGAGGCAACTTCAATATTTATAACATAATCATAGTCCATAGAAAATTATCAATTCAGACAAATGGCTGTTGACAACAGATGACAAATCTGAGAAAAAGCATATGTATCTCCATCGTGTGCCCAGTGGTTTCTTGGACATTGCAAGGTCACCTTTGGGATCCCCAGCCCTGCAGGTCCAGCTCCACAAATTTAGAAAATTCCAGGTTAGAAAAATCCTAAGTTATTCAATATTATCCTTCCATGTAACAGTTCAATGTGAAGTCCAAATTTTCATTGTCGTCAAGCAGCAGTAATAGAGCAAGTTCATTTTATTCACAGAGATTCTGTAACATCTGAAACTTTAGCCGGGTTATGTCTTCTACCAAGTTGGTAAATCTCACCTTAGCAGTTGGTAAATCTCATTTTACATTTTGCGTATCATTATCATAAGTGCTGATTTTTCTGATTAATAAAATTTTTAGTCCAGTACTAGAGCTTGAACTCAGGGCCTGGACCTTGTCCTTTAGCTTTTCTACTCAAGGCTAGTGCTTGACCACTTCAGCCACATCTCTACTTTTGGCTTTTTGCTGGTTACTTGGAGATAAGAGTCTGATGGACTTTCTTGCCCAGGCTGGCTTCATACCAAGATCCTCAGATTACAGCCTTAAGATTAGCTAGAATGGCAGGCATGATCCGCCAACACTTAGGTTTCTGATTAAAATTTTAATTACAGTGAAAATTAACTATTGTGTTTGCAGAAACCGATCACTACCTGGAGAAAAACTCTAAATAAAACTCAGGGTTTCTTTTTCCTATCTCTTGTCAGAGTCAGGACACAAGAAGTTAAAAAGCACCATTCAGAGAAGCACAGAAACGGGCATGGCAGCGGAAATGAGGAAGATGGTGAGACAGCCAAGCCGGGAGTCTACTGATGGCAGCATCAACAGCTACAGCTCAGAGGGAAAGTAAGTGATGCCAATGGCCCTCAGGCCAGGGATAGGATAGCAATGAACAAGACAGCAAAGTCCCAGAAGGCTACTGTGCATCCACTTTGTCCCTCAGGATACACCTGAGCACCTGCCACTCAAACCAGCCAGAGAGATAAAGAAATGCAGAGTTCATATAGATTTCCATCAGTCAGTACAGCTCAAAATTATCCTGCCTTGAAGAGAAGCTAGGGAAGCCACCTTCAATGAATTCTGTCCAGATGGGACACTCTGACCCTGCTGTGAAAATCTCAATTCAAAATTAAAAGTGAGAAATACAGCCAGGCTCCAGTGCCTCATTCCTGGAATCCTAGCTCTCAAGAGGCTGAGATCTGAGGATCCTGGTTTGAAGCCAGCCTGGGGACAAAAGTCTGAGACTTTTAACTCCAATTAACCAACAGAAAGCCAGAAGTGGAGCTGTGGCTCAAGAGTTAGCATGCCAGTCTTGAGAAAAACAGCTAAACAAGAGCATTCCATTACTGGTACCAGTAATGGTACCCACACACAGAATAAGAAATTAATGCCTGATTTTTCTACTTTAAACTGCTTTGGGCTCTAAGTTATTGTAAGCCTAACATACTCATACATTGTACAGTTTTCAAAATAACACTGTTACCTCCGGGGATTGGAGGGAAACCCAGGATCTCTGTATATCATTTTTTTATGATTAATGATAATTATTATCAAAATTAGTTAATTCTGAAAATATAACTGAATATTTTTGTTTGATTAACTTATTCTATCTTTTTATATGGATCCCACACAAAATCTGCATTTTCCTATGCTAAGAATTTTTCTGGTAAAACTTTTTACTAGAAAATCAGAAGTAGTCATTACTACACTGTGGTAGATTAGGTGAAGAATGACTCTACACAGATTCTTCCTAATAAATTTTCTATGAATATCTGAATCATTTGCAAGCCAAACTAGTACTTGTGCTTTCTTTTCTTTGACTGGCATTTTTTGATATTGCTTAAAAAGAAAATTATGCTGAGTTAATATATATGATGATATTTTTCCCACTCCTGAGTTGGTCCTAGCTTATCTGATAAAAAGTTTGGGAAATATGAACATAGTAAAACACAACCTAAGACAAAAAATGAATGCATGTAAAGTGAATAAGATAAATTACTGCAAAGTTTGATGAGGCAGTAGAGTGCCGTGTGCAAAACAAAAGATGAGACATTATTTCCTGATACAAAAACAAGTCAAATAAAACTCCTCTCTGCCCTGCCTAAGCCATTTCAGCTCTTCTGTATCTATTTTCCTTAGTCTCTGGAAGGGATAAAAACATGAGTATCTGGCTGGGAAGTTGGCTCAGTGGTAGGGTGATTGCCTTGCATGCATGAGGCCCTGGGCTCGATTCCTCAGCACCACATAAGCAGAGAAAAAAGCCGGAAGTGAGGCTGAGGCTCAAGTGGTAGGGCGCTAGCCTTGAGCTGAAGAGCTGAGGGACAGCATCCAGGCCCAGAGTTCAGTCCCTACAACAGAAAAAAAAAAAGTGTGTACCATGCACTTCCTCTTTATTTGTGGGCAAAATAATTTGTGAAAGCACAATAGAAACAGCTGTTACTAAACTACTGATGGAAATCAGAAGAATGATGAAAATCTGTACATTCATAATCAATTTAATTGCCCATAATAATAACATTCACACTTATATGGCAAATATTGTTATATGAATAAAAATAGTTATATAGCAAATATTGTTATGTGGGATAAATAGGGTCTTATCAAAAGACTTATCAAATGCCAACTGTTTAACCAACATTGTGCTCATTAACCAGAGACAATTACATCAGTAAACACTAAGAACACGTCATTGCTCTTCTGCAGCCTACATATAAAGGCGTTCAATAAATCACAGATTAGTAAGAAATAGAGATGATCTAATGATTGAATTTTCATTTGGACAAAATAAAGCCTCAAATTACTCAAACATTAATTCATTCAAAACTGAGTCACATGAACATTTCATTTGTGCATAAGAATTAATACAATACTACAATAGTACTCAAAATATTACTAGTGACTTTTCTGCATTCATGTCACTTTGTTTTTGAGAAGTTAGATAAAGATGATTATACTCAAATTATTGTCTTGTATTTTGTATCCACAATGTATTTAGTAAGAATGTGGGATAAAGGGTCCAGAGCACTTAGAACATTAAAAACATCTGAGCCCTTCTGAATGGAACACTACATCTCAAGCTGAGATGACAGACCTTTTCTCAATCAGTGAGATGTTAAGATATTTGTCCTAAGTAGTTTCATGTTTTCTGATCAGAATTAGTCAAGAGGAAACTAGCAAAGAGTGTTGCAGATCACGTGGGAGAGAAAAACCTCTGGGTACCTGAAGAAAAAGAAATCAAGCCGGGCATTGGTTGGTGGTTCATGCCTGTAATCCTAGCTACTCAGGAAACTGAGATCTGAGGATCACAGTTCAAAGCCAGCTTGGGCAGAAAAGTCCATGAGACTCTTACCTCCAATAAACCTCCAGAAAACCGGAAGTGGTGCTGTGGCTTAAAGTGGTAGAGCACTAGCCTTGAGCTGAAAAGCTAAGGGACAGTACCCAGGCCCAGATTTCAAGCTGAGAGAGAGAGAGAAAGAGAGAGAGAGAGAGAGAGAGAGAGAGAGAGAGAGAGAGAGAGAGAGAGATCATAGATATAATGTTTCCTCTTTTGTCTTTTATCCTGTTGCTAATAGCTTAATATTTCCTGGAGTGCGACTGGGTGCTGACAGCCAGTTCAGCGATTTTCTTGATGGACTGGGTCCCGCCCAGCTGGTTGGACGCCAAACCCTCGCCACCCCTGCGATGGGTAAGGGTCATTTCTCAGCCAACAGGGGGTTCCTGATTGTCAAGGTCATTTGAAACAGCACAGTTGTCATGCCTAGGAGAAGCAATATTCTGAATAGGTTATTGCTGGCTATAGAACTCTATCTGAATTTCTAGTACATTTTTCTTACATGAGACATTATGCAAAATAAGTACAATTAGCCATAAATCTTTCAGTTGCCATTTGAACTGCTAGATAACCTTGTTAAGACAGTCTGCACTCGATGCAAATGTAGATACATGATTAGATTTCACACCACGGAAGGAAAGCTGGACCTCACAAAGTAGGGTGTTGGTATAATTGTTTACTGTTCATAAGTGAATTAAATTGCCTTCTTCACAATCTATAAGAAGATAAGCATATAATATTTCAGAATCAGCTGAAAATCAAAGAGGAGGGGAGAGAAAGGAAGTTTAGAAATGCTGGAAAACTTCATGTTTCTTAGAGTGGGAAAGAAAGTAGAAAGAACCAAGCCAACATCTATTGGCTGAGCTCCCCTCCTCTGAAAAATCTCAAATCTACAGTCCTCCAAATTGTAGAACTTGCAAAATATCAGCATAGAGAATTCTACACCTGATCTCATGTCAAAATGCAGACTCAAGAACAACTTAGGTATATTTATTTTATGTTAACAGTTGGATCTTATCCCCAGTAGACCTCATTATGTATTTGCAAATATTTCCAAATCTGAATGTATATGAAATCTGAAGCACCATGGCCACAAGCATTTTGGGTAAGGGGCATTCAACATATTGACAGGAAATACCTTAAATGAAGTTGAAAGGAAGAGGAGAAATAGAGAAAATTATATGCAGCCTGGGCAACAAATATTTCCCTGTACCACATGAAATTACACCTGCAAAGAAACCATAGTAAACCCACAAAAATGAATGGAAGTAGTTAGCAAAAGATATACATCATCATGGAATTTTACAGTGATGGAGATCAATAGAAAAAAATCAAATCTTCTAAGACAAAACTAACTGTATAAAATTAGCAAAGTCCAATTTACATTGAGCGTGGTAGTGCAGGCCAGTAATCTCAGTACTACATAATTCCAAGGCCATCTTGAATTACATAGTGAATCTGAGGTCACTGGAGTGAATTTGGCAGCAGAATGAATTTGGCAACAGAGTGAAACCTTGTCTCAAATAAACAAATAAATGAACAAAGATTCACATTGGACTCGAGTAATAATACTGACAGGCAGAAAGCAAAAATTGCCTTCAAAACTTGGAATAGCAAGCAATTTTCAACTTGATGTAGAATAGCCAGCTAAATAATCAAGTAAGTGTGAGGCTGCAGTAAATACAAATTTGGAAGCCTGGTGCTGACTGATGCCTACAGCCCCAGTACTCAAGAAGCTGAAATGAGAGGATTCAGATTCACTGCTAGGAAAAGCCAAGTGCATGCAATTAACCACCAAAGAAGGCAGAAGTGAAGGTGTGGCTCAAGTGGTAGAGCACCAACGTTGAAGGATAAAGTTAAGGGACAGCACTCAAGTCCTGAAAGCAAGTCCTAGTACCTGCAAAACGAATGGATGAGTGAATGAATTTATGGTTGGACGACCGGTGGCTGAGAGCATTGTCTTTACACGCACTTCACTGACTTAAAAGCCACAGGAGGATTTGCCTCTGCAAAATAAACTTCTTCATTGACTTAAAAAAAGAGAAAAAGGAGATCCAACAAAAAAAGTATCCTCACACAAGAGAGATGATTATGGGATTTCCAGCATGGTAGTGTAAATCGGAAATAACAGCTGTGGCGAGGTTTGAATATAGTTTTATGAATTGTAGCCTGCTATGGTCCTTAAAACCATGTTGTAGAGTGCCTCCTGTTTTTGTTTTTATGGAAGAGTCAACATCAGGATAGAATAAAAGCGACATAAACATAAAAATGTAACTTTAAAAAAAAAGATAACACTAAGTGTAAGATAAAGGTAGGTCACACCTGTAATCCTAGCTACTCAAGAGACTGAGATCTGAGGATTCTTGCTTGAAACCTGCCCAGGCAGTAAAGTCCATGAGACTCCTACCTCCAATTAACCACTAAAAAGCTGAAAGTGGAGCTCTGGCTCACGTGTAGAGCATTAGCCTTGATCAAAAAAGGTAAGGAACAGCACCCAAGTTAATTCAAGCCCCAGTACACACACACACACACACACACACACACACACACACACATACACACACACACACACACACACACACACACACACACACACACACACACACACACACACACACCCAATAGAATGTAGCTTTAAGAAAATAAAGTAGAAAAAGTTTTTAAAATGTCACAATTCCATTGAAAACACAGTTGTCCCATGCAACAAGCAATGCCCAGTTTCACAAAGCTCAAGCTCAGTTATTATTATGCTGCATAAAGCTGAATTAACAAGTCTGGAGTGACCATAAAAAATCACTAGAAGCAAGCAATTTACATCATGCTTTGATATAGAGGAGAATTTTAGATATAAGAAGAAAGAAAAAATTTAAATTTATTCTAGTAAGATTCTAAAGGGAGAACAGATACAGCTCTTAGAAAAACAATAATGGTGGCTGAACTATTTTATAAAAACATAAAACCAGAGAGAGAGTAAAGATGATGATGATTGCTGAACTCAGCTCTCAACCCAAGGAAAAAGGACTTCCTAAAGAAATTCTAGAACCTCATTTCAATTTATGAGGAAGAGAAAAATTGTCAAGGGAAAAAAGGAAATAAACCAACAGCTTTTATTTTCTAGTAATGCCCAAGAAAGTGTTTAGAAGATAAATGATTCTTGTCTGATTAAAGACAAAAATTACTGAAAATTCTTTTTTGTTTTGTTTGTCGATTGTGGGGTTTGAGTTTGGGGTCTGAGCACTAAGCTCTCTTGCTCAAGACTAGTGCTTCCATTTTGAGCCACAGCTTCACTTCCAGTTTTCTGGGAGTTAATAGGAGAAAAGAGTCTCATGGACTTTCCTGTCTGGGCTGGCTTTGAACTGCAATCCTCAGATCTGAGCTTCCTGAATAGCTAGGATTACAGGCATGAGCCACCAGCATCCAGCAGAAAATTCTGTATTAAGACAAATTTTATTCAAGAAAGAAAAGATAAAAATTCAATTTAATAGGGGCCGGGAAGGTGGCTCAGTGGTAGAGTGCTTACCTTGCATGCTCTGGGTTAAATTCCTCAGCACCATATAAGCAGAAAAAGCTGGAATTGACACTTTGGCTCAAGGGGTAGAGCGCTAGCGTTGAGCTGAAGGACAGGGCCAAGGCCCAGAGTTCAGGCCCCACAACAGACCAAAATAAACCAAATTCAATTTAATAAAAATGTTAAAAATCAATAATTTTTCATTCAAGAATAAAAAAGGTACAGACAAAGCTTAGTTTCTACATTCCTTTAAAAGATACAGTTTCATGGGGAAAATAAACTTCAAAGGATGAAATACACAAAGAAATATCAAGGAAGAATTAATGAAACTTGATAAATTTATTTTAGAAAAAAATACTTTCTCTGAAAAACAACCTAAGGTATAAATGTCTGGAAGCCTAGAGCAAGTGGCAGAGCTCTTAACCTAGCAAGTTCAAATCCCATTACCATCAAAAGTAAATGAATAGGTAAAAATGAAAAGGGAGATATCTCTTCAATTCATTCTAATAGTAGATATAGTTGTACATCAAATTATACTTGGGTTCTTAAAAGACTCCACTTCTTTCACAATCAAAGAAAATCAGATTAATATAACCATCAGAGTGACGAAAATTAAGATGTATTTTTAAGACCTACTTTATAGAATCTAAGAGTTGCAATCCAGAAGTTTCCACAGCAGCACAGACTAGTCTTTCTGCAAGGTTTGCAGAACACACGGGGACTTTGAATATCTGTAAAACGAGATCCAAACATGTAAAGATCTGGAACAAATGTTCAACCAAAGGGTCAATGAAAGGTGTATGATTTCTTGTAAAATTGTTTTACAAGCGATGTAAATAACCTATGTTTTCATCAACAAGGGTCGGGCAACATGGGTAAAAATATATCCATTCACTGGTACATATAGTCGTACAAGGACAGTGTGTGATCCCATTCATGAGGGATGCACAGAGGAATGAATGGATGGATAGATTATCAGATCTACATAATAAATGATAGCTAGATGGATGATAGATAGTAAGATATAGAGAATAAATGGATAGTTACATAGTAGATAATTAGAGGTAGAAGATAGGTAGTTTTCTTTAGATGATTGTAACACAGACTATTACAATTTTTATTAATAAGCAAAAAGATGACATAAAACAAGAAATGTTACTAGAGCATGAGAATCACATGACTACTTCAGTGTGGTAGTTGATTTTTTTCCAAGTAACCGATGTCAGTTTTGAAAATGGACAGAAAAGGGGGACTAGGGTTATCTAAATATTAGTTTCTTTATATCACAATCCCTAAGATGATTTTAATTTTTGTTACATCTCTTGACTGAAAAGAAGGTGAAATATTTTGCTTTGCCTCCACCCCAGGTGATATACAAATTGGAATGGAAGATAAAAAGGGCCAGTTAGAAGTAGAAGTCATTAGAGCACGAAGCCTCACACAAAAACCTGGTTCCAAATCTACACCTGGTAAGGAAATCTATTAGGAAGTTTGGTCAAGAGAAGATTAAATAGGAAGAAAGAAAGAAAAAGAAGATGATTTGAGACATTTGTGACAAGTGACTTTTCTGTGCTTGATTTTGTATCTCTAATTGGTTTTTTTAAACAATGTTTCTGTCATTTCTTACTGCATGAATGAACGTAAGTCTGTGTTTTAAAATTTTGAATTATAATTGTTTCATAGCTTGTGTCAGTTAATGCTTTTTTATGTGTTTATATGTACAAAAGTAAAAATGGAGGGATTTCGATCTAATCATATAAAGTAAGGAATGAGCTTTTAAATACAAACTGTAATCCACAAAAGTGAAACTTCAGGTAACCACACATTTTCTTGAAATGAGCAAAGTTGCAGACATGGTGTATATGTGTGAGAGTGTGTGTGTGTGTGTGTGTGTGTGTGTGTGTGTGTGTGTGTGTGTGTGTGTGTGTGTGTGTGTGTGTGTGTACATACATATATATACATATATATATATATGGGTTTTAAGGAAGCAATAGGTACTTACAATGATTTTACTAGTTTTCTGGGAAATTATCAAACAGCATCTCTAATTCTCAGATAAGGTATTCTGTAATAAAGTAAGTGAATTCAAGGATTAATTTCTTATATGTGTCTATACCTTGGTTTAGCTCCTTATGTCAAAGTCTATCTTTTGGAAAATGGAGCCTGTATAGCCAAAAAGAAGACAAGAATTGCACGGAAAACTCTTGATCCTTTGTATCAACAGTCCTTGGTTTTTGATGAAAGTCCACAGGGAAAAGTTCTTCAGGTCAGTAAGAGATTGTCTTTCTCTGCTGTAATATCTGTAGTATGCATAGCAACATTGAAGTGATGGTGAACCACAGAGAACCAAATTCCAAAAAAATAAACAGTATTAAATTATTGAGTAAAAAAATAACCAGGGGGATTTAATTTAGAATGTAATCATGTATAGTATTTACATAGAATGATTCTAATGGAAATTATTTTCTTCCTGTTCTTTCCTTCTCTCCATCTTCACATTTGCATTATTTTTCATCATCTTCTCCTAGATAGTAGACACATACATAAATAAAGACATAGCTGTGGATATCTATAATAGATACAATAGGCAGATGTGATAGATGAGAGAGTAGATAGAGGATAGAAGATAGGATGAATGGGTAGCTATAGAGAGAGAAAGATATATCAAAGTAAACAAAACTAATAGTAGTTCATTGATCATTACTATGTACTGGATGTGAGTTCTAAGAGATCATACGGGCACTAGCCACTAGCTGAATGCAGACACATAGTTGGGTGCTTGAGTATACTACCTTTTTTAACATTTAAGTATCACGTGGCATGAATACCATAATCTTCATTTTAAAGATGATTTCTCAGTAATTTAATTTAGCAAAACTATTCAGTAAGTTGAAAGGGCAGAATTTACCAGCCCTGCTTGTGTAAGGCATGTGACTGTGACAGTACAGAACCTTTAAGCTCAAGGACTAGAACGTAGAACTTGGGCAATTATGTACTGGAAGGCTTGTCCAGGCATGGAGCTGACCCAGATGGTGTAACTGTTAGTGAATTCACTGCGCTACTAGCCATCTGAGCAAATCAGTTTCCAGACAAGTCTCCTGAAGTTGTCAACCACAAAAGGAATCCACCATGCTTTTGCACACTGCACTGTAAATGCATTGCATGGCACCCAGCCTTGGATTGCTTCTGTAATCTGCATCTCTAACAGCCCCTTTCCTTGATTATTAGATAGGCCTGGAATTTATATCTGAGAAAGCATGTATTTCTTTCTTTAACATGGCTCGTGTACGTAATACCTTTATTGACTAAGGAAACATTATTTGCATTCCATCAAACTGAAGACGGAGTGTGCACTATCTCCGAGCACCTTCACATTATTGATTCTCACCTATGCTTCCTCATTGGTGTTGTTTGGCCAATTCAAGTGTAAAAGAGAAAGAAGTTCAAATTAATGTCGTATGCTCTGTCTCTGCAGGTGATCGTGTGGGGAGACTATGGCAGAATGGACCACAAATGCTTTATGGGTGTGGCTCAAATCTTACTGGAAGAACTGGATCTGTCCAGCATGGTGATTGGATGGTACAAATTGTTCCCGCCCTCATCACTGGTGGATCCCACACTCACTCCCCTGACCCGTCGGGCTTCCCAATCTTCTCTGGAAAGTTCAACTGGGCCTCCCTGCATCCGATCATAGTGAAGTTGGAGTTTTTCCAGTAAACCTCTATCTTGCAGGATAACAGTTGAACCAGATATTTCACGATCAAAAAGCATTGTTGGAGACAGACAATCAACTTGTGTTTTTGCCTGTAGTAGTTTTTCAATAATATGTCCCAATTGTTTAAAACATGGCTTCACATGACAGAACAAGGCAATCTACCAAATTAGAGGAAGAATCAATGTGCTAGTGAGAGTCACTGATGCTTCTAACAAATAGAAAAAGAGGAAACTTCAGATACACACACACACACACATACCACCACCACCACACCAAATTGAACAAACTGGAAACTCTCACTTTCTGAAAAGTCATAATTTACACATTTCTGCACAGACCACAAGCAGTGTTATTTTCCTGGTGTTTGAGAAACATACTTGTTTCTGTGTGTGTGTGTTATTGATTTGTGTTTTTGTCAGTTGTTTTTTGTTTGCGTCGGTTCCTGTTTTCTTAGTTCTCATTGTATTGTATGTGATTTCCACTCCTTTTTTGGGCTGTATCATAAAAGGTTTCAGGATGCTAACAGAGACCCTTCCTTTCTTTTTCCAAAAGCACTAACTAAAAAGGGCTGAAGTAGTCTCTGTTGCATTAACAAGTAGTCAACAACTACAAATTGACGCCAGTGAACAGTTTCACTAGCTTTCATGTCATAGTTAAAGTCTTATGTGTGGAAACCCAAAAGACAAGAAGTTATCTTCCAAAACTCATCCACCACAGCTTTGTCAATGAAGAACATCCCTGTCTGCCATCCACACATGTCCCAATGTTTTCCATTGTTTTGCATGGAAGACTTTGTAGTCAATCTACAACTAATGCTGGGAACTCAAAGTAATTGCATAATTGTACCTTGAAAACACTCCTGCTAGTACCTTCTTCCTTCCTGATATCTAAAACAACTCTGCTGATGTAGACAAACTTTACTTCTGACTTCCCCAAATGGTGACTAGGAATGAATTGGAGCCTAAGACACTTTCAGCTACACCCAGGCTTCTGAGCCATGCTCCAGTGCAATTTTTCACCTGCCCTGGAAAGAGGGTGGTATGAGCTGTTCAGTATTTCACTGGATATTCCAGTTGAAATATTCTGCACTAAACTAATGTTTTTCTATTGAATTTCAGTTTACATTTCTTTGAGGTCGAAGCAAGCACAAAGCTTGATTTTTTTAAATGCCAAGTATCTTACTCTTTTTTTTTTTTTTGGATGGGGGGAGGGAATCAAACCAAGTCAAATTCTCATTTGCATTTTCTTCATTTTTGAGTTTTCCCTGACCTTGAATATCCCTTTGTGTAACCATGCAACAAACTTCAGACACACAGGTGTATCAGTCCATTCTCTCTCCTTTTATGAGTCATTCAACTTTTGTGATTACACAAAATAGAGCAGCATGACTTGGAACTGTTCAAAGCTGCATGCACATTTTTGTAAAAAAAAAAAAATGAAAAGAAAAAAAAGCAAAGAAACAAAAGGTTATTTAACAATGTATGTTAGTTTCACATAGGCTTGTCTGTTGCATGTATGTACAGTTTGCTTGTTAATTACTCTATTGAAAATAACCAAGAAATCTAAGCCATCCATTTTTGTTATAGACATTTTGCAAGTTTTAACTAGACTCCACCTCTTAGGGGTCTGGGCTGAAATGTCTATAGATGGACTTTATTTTTTAAACCCTCTGGAAAATGTGATGTAGTATGGACCAAATTCCTTCTAATGAATATTTTGGTGTAGATTCCTCTCGTGGGACTGTAACACAAGTAGACACTGTGTCCACACTAGGTTTTAATCCATAGACATACTGCCTGCACCAAGCAAATTATTATTTATTATTTCCACATGCCAGAATTTTATCTGCCCATCATTCCACAGGGCACAGATTGACCACTGCTCACCATGCCGAGCAGGGAGAGCTGAAGCATTGGTGCACTTGTCCTAGATTCCGTTCTGTCTTAGTGGCCAACAATCAACTGACTATAGAATTGGGGTAGCATCTTTCTATTCTGACCACTTGTCTTAACACTCTTCTCCAACCCCTGTGCTTTTAAAATGAACTCCCAACTCATGGATGTAAACATGTTTAATAAATTTTACTTTTCATGTCTGATAGTAGCCATCTGTGTTCTATGTCTGGCCAGATTTCCATTGTGGATTCGATGGTGCAAAAATGGGAGCCAGATTATGGCCAGGGGAGGCTGGGGCTCATTGTGTGCTTGCTAGCCTTGGAGACACGACTTGTCACTGCACTCTCTATGTCTTCTTCTCCGGCCTAAAAGGTACTTTGCATCACAAACAAGTTTTTCACTCTGTCAGCCTGTCTTAAGTGAGCACATGATTATACTTCTGAAAAGTGGCATTATTAAAAAAAAAAAACAATAAATCTCAGTAAGAATCAAATGAAGGTTGTTTTTCTGCTACTGTTTGAATGTGCTAATAAAGGAGAGAACTGTCTGCCAAATCATTTGAAGTTATGTGACGTATTGAAGTAATACTTGTGTGCCTCTCATCCGAGCTTCTGGTTCCTCTTCTCGTCTTTTCCTTCTGGACTCTTAACTAGCGTATAGAACCTTTCCTTCCAAAGGCCAACTTAACACCAACAGGCAATGCATCTACCCTAATCATGTTAAGCACAATCTTAAGGAATAACATTTTGGGGTCAGTTTCTCAAACTAATATGCTAGAAATAAAACTTACAGCCCTGTGCTGTCACTTGGCTTTTCTACTCAAGACTGTCACTCTATTACTTGAGCCACTTCTGGCTTTTTGCTGGTTAATTGTCAACGATGGTTTCTCTCAGATTTATCTGCCCAGTCTGGCTTTGAACTTCAGTCCTCAGATTCCAGCTTCCTGAGTAGCTGGGCTCAGGCCTGAACCACCAGTGCCTAGGTAAGATTTGTTAGATTTTATTTTCTTTTTATGTAATTCATAATCATGACATTCACAAAACACTAACTTAATATGTTAACTGGTGAAATAGCTATTGGGATCTAGTCTCAAATTGCCAACAGATTTTAATTTTTTTTTGTTGTTGGTCATGGGGCTTGAACTCTGGACCTGGGCGCTGTTCCTCAGCTCTTCAGCTCAAGGTGAGAGCTCTATCACTTGAGCCACAGTGCCACTTCTGTTTTTCTATTGGTTTATAGGAGATAAGAGTCTCACAGACTTTCTTGCCTGAGCTGGCTTTGAACTGTGACCCTCAGATCTTGGCCTCCTCAGTAGTTAGGATTACAAGCATGCACCACCAGTGCCTGGCTCAGATTTTAGTTTTTACAGAGCAGCCTTGGTTTAACATTACTTTTTTTTAAAAAAACTGACTCAATATCATATTTAAAACAGCAAAGCAGCTTGAGAAACAACACCATCAATTGTTTATGGTTTTAAAACAATTGAATGACTTTAACTCATTGAGTCATTTTGTTGTTTGTCTACAAGGCATGTGATTTTCTGTTAGGTGGGGTCCAAAGGCTGCAAAGCCTTGTCAGAGCTAAGCTGTGAGTGTGTATGCATTAAGATAGCATATGACAAATCTGCCACTGAAATGGGGAGTGACTGGATTTAGCTTTAGAATTTCTATCTAGACAGAAATTTCTTTTCAAATAAGAGAAAGTTGCACAGTTTGGATCTCAAGGTCTACAGTGGAGAGGAAACAGATTTGTGAAGTCCTGATGGTTTCTTGCTGACTCTTACCACTTAGTTCTTGAAATCTCAGCCTGAGATAATGATTGATCTCACCTAGCTGATGTAATTCAGGGTTGAAGTATAGATACTAAATTAAGTACTTGGAATATAAAAATGAAAAAACCTCATTGACCCACCTTTGAAGGGGCTCCATTTCTATGAAAAGAGACCATTACTTGAAGAAACAGTAAGATAACAAATATTTGACTTATATACAAAGGGTTCTAGTGTAAAGGTGATGTACAGAGGGATTACATTATATGAGGTAATGTGTACATTTTTTTTGAAAAGTGTTAACCTCTCCTTTATTTTCTCCTATCCCCCAAAACTGCCTTCTCCCTCAAGTTGTAAAGTTCATTTCAAACATAGTGTCTAGTGACTCTCACTGTTGCACTGGATCACCCTTTTTTTCTCTGTTGCTATGATTCCAAATCATATAAACTGATATACAAGACAAAAGGGTACAGAAATCAAAAAGTGACAACAGGGAATAAACCATAGTGGGGTGGGGAGAAAGAAAAAAGAAATAACTACAAATTGTACTCTAGTAAAACTTCTTGTTTCCATTTCTTGGAGGTCATTTCAATAAGCATCATTTTATATGGTCAAATGCCCCTCAGTAGATGAATGGGTTAAGAGAATTTTATATAGATAGATAGATAGATAGGTAGATAGATAGATAGATAGATAGATAGATAGATAGATAGATAGATAGATAGATAGATAGATAGATAGATATATGCCTCCATTAGAAAGAATGGCATTGCCCTATTCATAAGAAACGGAAAGACTTGGAAAAATTATATTAAGCAAAGTAAGCTGGACCTAAAGAAAATGAGGCTGCATGGTTTCCCTCACTTGTAATAACTAGAATGTTTAGGATATTCTTAGCAGAAGATCACAATAGCTCAATAGCTGTGTGCATATGATATTTTTTAAATTAAGTAGTTACTATTCAACAGAACAGTTTATGAACACAGTGGGTCTTGATCAATCTCACCTCTTCCATCATTCTTCTCATCCTTGCAAACCCCCCTCCTTCCCTCAATTTTCTCAATTTTATACAATGTACGTTGAATTTTATGACTGTATTCTGGTCCCATTCCTCTTACCATTCATCTACTCCCCTCTCCTGGATCCTACTACTTTCCCTGGTGTTTATTTTGTTGGATTGTGAGTTCGCCTCTCTAGGGAATTTCACCATAGTTCACTTAATATTCGCTCAGATGCCACCCTGAGCTCTTTACTCAGATATTTGTAAATTAATTCTAGGTTCCACATCGGAGAGAAAACATGTCTCCTTTGTCTCT